TCCGTTCTCAGTGAGGATTCATAACTATGACTTGAGGGAAGTATTCATCTAGAGTCCAAATGGTCGCGAGTTTTTCCCTCAGAAAAAGATATGAATTAATAGGATAGTTCAAGCTAGGTGGATGAACAAATACTGCCTTAGATTTGGCGTATTTTAATAACCCTCTCTCTCTCTCTCATTCTTTCTGTCATTGATCTATGACTCTTTCACTCCTTGTATTTATCGTTCTCTCTCACCCTCTCTGCAATGTCATACAGAGGAAAGACTAAATTTATAGTAGAAATGCATGTTTTTATCATATTATTTATATCTCTTTATATTTATATATTTATATATTTATATCTATTTATTTATTGATATTTACATTTATTTATTTATATTTATTTTATTATATTTATTTATATTTATTTATTTATTCAAATTTATTTATCTAAATTTATTTATATTTATATTCTATTATTTATACACCGTGAAAATCTATCAACAGTATCAAATATATAAAATCTGACTACCAAATGAATGAATAAGAATAAATAATAACAATAACTACAAATATTTTATATATCTAAATTTGGTCTATTACTACTATTGAACAAATGTCGAACTAATGAAAGAATCAAATATAACAAAACTTCAAATTAAGCTTTTCCATGAATGCCGTGTGATCAAAATTTGATTATAAAGAAATAGTTTACTGAATCTCCTGACCGAAAATATAGTGGTCATGTTCTTCCCAATATGAAACTGGAATCGTTTCGCAAAATGTCATTCCTGAGGCAACGGGCATTGTTTGCATCAGACTCCTTTTGGGGGGCTTTGGTGATAAAATATTATCATAATATCTAATCAAAAAAGTCTAGGTTGATCTATCATACATTTGATGCGAATACACCTCAGCTTCCTCAGCTAGCACAATAGGCGATAATGTCCAAAAATTATCAGAAAAACCAAACTAACTTTCAGTTTTGTGGATGAATTATACGTGGCAACAAGCAAACATTCCATGTGCAGACTTAATAAACTATCAGTGCATCATCTCGATAAAAAATGTTTCAGTGTTATTGCTGACTGAAAATCACTTTTTTCACTGAATATTGTTCTAAATAATTGTTAATTTTTTCCCAAAAATGCTATAATATTAATGTAATTTTGTTGATTATGAACGAAAATAAGGTGGCTTTCTCATTCATTATTATTTTTATTAGTTCTGCCTAGACTCACGTTTTCCACTTGAAACCTATCCCTTTAATTACTTAATTTAACATGGTAGCTCAACTTGTTTTCAAAACAACTTGAAAACGCCACGGAAAAAACCCTGTAACTCACCCTCGAAGTCTGTTATCTCGTTCGCTAAATTCAACGACCGTCAATCGAAGAAAAAGAAAAAGGAAAAACGCAATAGTTTGAGGGAAATTTTGGACTGAATTAAAGATTTTAAAGGATAAGAGGATAAAAAATCTTTAATTCAGTCCATAATCTCCCTCGAGATATTTTCTTAAATTGCAGTTCTTTGATTAATTTATTGTCGTTGAAAAGCTAGTCGGCAAACGAAACATTGAACTTCGTGGTACGCACTTCAACGATGGTAGTAAACTGCGAGAAAAAGTGGGAAACTGTATAAAATAAAAGCAACATAAAAAAGCAGGTTAATAAGAGGAAAGGTACATGGAAGCTGAGTGCTTTACGCAAGCCTTGCCTTAACTCGTTTTGACTATACTGCCTTAAAAATTTAAAAAAAATGACTTTTGAAATTCTCAGGCATAGTTCTCATTCGTAAATACCGCTGTGTTTTATGTAAAGACTCCTCTGCACAGGCTTAGCCTCGCATATAAAGGGCAAATCATTTGCGAAAGTCACGGACTGTCATTAACGTAAAGAATGTGCATCTTGAGCAATACCAATGTTTTTGAAATCCCACGGACTGTGAGTTTGTTTAGGGAATGACAGGACCCATCTGCGTACAAAACGCGTATTAATCTCAAGAGTTTGTACTAAAAAATAACCATTACAGTTCTTAATAACATTCAGTATTAATTTCATTTTTATGAATGAAACAACCTCTGAGCTGATCAGAGTAAAAAGAAGGCTGACTTACATAAGGAATTCAAATTTACTGAATTTAGCGACCTAGACTATTTTGCAGAGAGGGGAAAAACGTAGAACTAGAGAAAAACCCTCGAATCAATTGAGAAACTTGTTCTAATGGGAAGTGACAGGCGAATGCACTTGTTTATTTATATAATAGATGAGGCGGTAAGCCGTGTGGGATGGGCTCGGAAATCATATAAGAACATGCGTAATAGGTCATACAAGGCTCGTATTTTACCTATTACGCATGTTCTTGTTTATTTATATAAATGATGAACGCCTGGGTTTTAATAACATAGTTGAATGTCGCCTGACAGAAGCCCTGCTTTCTGCTTTTATCACTCGATATTAGGTTCATTTGTCATTAATTGCATTGATCAATTACATTACCAATCAGAAGGTTCAACGTAAATAGCAAGCTAAACAACTTAACACCTGGCAAATGGAATGGTACTGACCTCTTCCTTTAATGGTAAATTGAATGGAATACAAAATGGGATCAAACGAAAATGAAAGATATATTGAGGTATTGTTACCCGAGGAGTAATGTAGAAGCCCTTGTGCGGGATATTCGAAATGCAGTACAATATGAAGGGCAAAATAATAGAGGTTTCTAGAAACGGATGCTCGATTTTTTGTTTTATTTCAAATTGAGAAGGCCTGACAATTGCTGCCAAAAGGAGTCAATACCAAACTTTTTATACTACTTTGAGATCAAGCATTACAACTATATTGGTGCAGTTTCATAGCAAGTTTTATCGATCGAAGAAAGAAAGAAATGCTACTGAAGGAAATGCAGTCAAGACTGACTTAGAAACTAAGAATAATGGAAAAAGTTGGAAACCCATCGTATTTTCATAACAGAAATATGCAAGACAAAGAATACATATCAAATTTGGACACCTTTTTTTATTTCCCTTGACTTGACTTGTTTAAAATCTTCGTAAACAACTTTAAGTGACGTCATCCAAGATGGCCACCGCTTTGAATCCACCCCCTGTTATTAACTGTACCTTGGAAGAGAAGAGAAGAGAAGAGAAGAGAAGAGAAGA